AAAAAAAAAAAAAAAAAGAGAGTTTTTTTTTTTTGTTGTTTTGGAGTGATGCTACCGCCTTCTCCCGAAGGTAACCAAAAAAACATATCCTGAGTACAGATGTACACAGGCCATATTGCCGGTCGGGTTCAGTCATGATGAGGGTGCGTTGTGTTCGGGAAAAGACGCGAGTGCCGCCAACTCGCCAGCCGTCCATCTATCTGCGCCTTCCGTCGACTTTCTCCCCTCCCCCCCCCTCCCCCCCCCCCCCCCCCGCCTCTCCCCTTTCCCCCGCCGGCTTTGCTTGGGAAGATGCATTTTTCTTTTTCTTTTTCTTTTTTTTTTTAATTTGGAGGGTATGCGTTTTTTATTTATTTCCTTCGTCTTTTTTTATTTCGAGGCCGTGCCTTTTTTTTTTTTCCTCGCGTGGAGGGGATGCCTTGTAGAAAGTGAACCTGGTCGGATTTGCTAGCCCTCCGTCGAATAGAACTGACGGTTATTTATTTAGAAAAAAAAAAAAAGAACTCACGGTCATTATTATAGCTTTACTTGGGAGCAAACTTGCAGTCTAGATGATGCAGCGATACTGGCCGAGGATCAGTGCGCCTCCTGTGGACCTCGTCAGCATATATTCTCAATTTAAAAAGGGAAAAAAAAAACCCCCTGTTCTGGGCAATCTGTGCGTGCGCCCATCGTGACCTTTTTGGGAAATTTAAATTTTGGATGTATCTGACCGCAATTACGGCACGTGGTAGATGTACCTGACCGTAAATGTGTCCAGAGGGCAGTCGAAAATTCGCTAGTGTTGGTACGTGCTCTTGAGCCCCGGAGCAATTACGGTCTAATCCGATTTATTTGTTTTTGGGGAAATTCCAAATCCGATCTTGTCGTAATTGATGGTGAAAAAAAAAAAAAAAAAAGGATAGGTTCCACTTATCAAATCTTTTTTTTTTTTTTTTTTTTTTTTCTGATTTACAGCATTTTTTTTTTTTTTTTTTGACTTACACTAAATCTTCTTCGTCTTCGTGTTTTGGCTAGTTCGACCTTTTTCCAGAAAATATTTTGTAATCCGATCTTTTTGTAATTTACGATAAAAAAAAGTGAAAAGAATGTCGGCGAGTGTTTTTTTTGCGCCCAGGTAATTTTTCTCCGTCCTCTGATCTAGTCGGGGAGCCGCTGATCTGTCTATTTTTATATTTTTATAATAAGGGGCATGGTTTTTTTATTTTAATTTAATTATCATTAGTATTAATAATTTGAATTCCTTTGTTTGGCAGAAAGGGAAATTAAAAAAATGAATCTCTCTATTGTGCCAGGGGATTAACCGGTCGCATGTATAAGGAGAGCAATGGGGGCTCGCTTCACTAACAAAACACTCGAAATGAATCTGGGCTGTTCGCTGATCCAGATGCATTCGGTTCGACGAAACATGTTGAATGTGTCTGGACCAATACGACGACCCGATGCATTGGGACTCTTGTGTTGTGGATCGAGGCTCATGGTCTCTACGTGAATGCGTGTCTTTTTTTTGTTTTTCGGGGGGGGAATGCGTGTCTACGGGAACATTATGTGCGTTTTTTTTTTTTTTTTTTTTGGGGGGGGAACATGTACGGGTTTTGCGGGGACGAGAGAGAAAGAGATGGAGAGGGGGAGGGAGACAGCTTTTTTTTTTTTTTGTTTCTATTTTTGGTGCAAGAGCGCATTTGGTGAGCTGATTCATTTCTCTCCCTTCTCCTCTTCTTACCGCTCCTTTTCCCTTTCCCCCCTGCCCCCCCCCCCCCCGATTCTTCTTTTTCATTTCCCGCTCATACCAACCTTTTCGATTGTACCCGTCTTCCTCCTCTCTCTCTCGCTGTGTGTGTGTGTGTGTGTGTGTGTGTGTGTGTGTGTGTGTGTGTGTGTGTGTGTGTGTGCGTTAACCCATTCCTCTCCTCGTTCTTTTCCACTACCCGTTCATACCGATCTTTTCGATTATACTCTTCTTTTTTTTCTTTTGTTTTCGCTTTGTTTTTATTGTCCCATC